TCTGCTTTGCATCTTAGGAACCGACATGCTCCAGGCTCCCTGGCCTGTTGCTTGAAGGCAAGTTTGGCTGATGAGAGCCTCTGATAGAGTTGAGGGGAACGATGGGAGAAACAGGCGCTGTCTTCTCTCTGTGTCTCCAGTGGCATCTCCATCAGTGGCTTCATGTACTCTGTGCCTCCAGCTCCTGCCAAATAAATGCCCTAGTTTCTAGGATCTTGTAACACCACCTTCTCCTGTGTCCCTCCAGTGGTTTCTTCCTGCTGTTGCTAATCTGTGGTTCCTCACCATCCGTTTAGCTTCTCAGCCCTTCTATCACCTGTGCATCCAATTCCCTGTATTACATCTCTTGTGTTGAAAGACCTAGAGTGGTTTCCGTTTTCCTGGTTGGGCCCAGACTGCATGCCCTGGCTGGGAATCATCTCTACGAGGAGAAATGATGTGAGACAGACTCGTGTGTGTGTACATGTGTGTGTGTGTACCTGTGTGTGTGTGTGTGTACGTGTGTATGTATGTGTATTTCACTATTAAATGATGGGAGCCTTTTCACCTGGGGAGCCAGCTGATGTATCTTTCGATCTTGATGCTCCAGCATGGTACCCGGCATGCAGGAGGCTCTAGTAGATATTTACTGACCTGGTATATTTGTTTGGTAAAACAAACCAGGCCAGAGTGGCTGTTCAGTTTATCTCTGAGTTAACTGCTCAGTGTCTATGAGATATAAGAACTATGGATCCTTCTAGTCCTTAAAATGTAGCAGTGAGCCAGTCTGCCACAGTCTACAAAGCCACACAGGGAACTACATTCTTAGCTATTTCTAGAGGATCTTTCTGACTTTGAGCCATAGTAGTTAGAGTAAATGGAAAGATATTATTAGCTGAAACTTGGAAATATGAACAACTACCAAAATCAGAGAGTAGGTGAACACTGGATGGGAGACATGGGAAAACATGGGGAAAAACCATTCTTTTAAATGGTTTTCCTATGCTTATGCAGGCAGAGTTTAATGGAGTGCACCATGGACTAAGGTTGGGAAATCTGGGCGCTGGGATCAGCTCTGCCACCAGGCCCGTGTGGCCTTGGGCAAGTCATTTCTTGCTGGAGCTTGGCTTCCTCATTGGTAAAACGAAGGAATGTGGTTAAATGAGCTTTTGGTAAAATATCCAGCAGCTGCTCAGTGTCTAGAGAGTCAAGCCCTATTTTATTCTATAACATAAGATCTTAGCTAGTCTTACCCCAGCTCATCTTTCCAGTCTCACCTCCCTCCCCAACTCTCACCTGCTCAGCCATCTCCTTGACCTTTACAATTCTGTTTTCTCTATTTGTAATTCTCTTTTCTGCTCTCTTTATCCCACTTTGTGGCTCACCTTAAATTCCCCTCCTTTCTGCAGTGGTCTCATATTCCCCTCCTGGTGGGATAAAAAGAGTAAGAGTCCTTGTCATGGAGAGGCAGTGTGGGGTGCTGGTTAAAACAGTGAACTATGGACTCAGAATGAGTGTTGTTAAGCCCCAGGCCTGCAATAAACTGGTGTGTGACATGGAGAAAGCTACTTACTGGCTATGCCTCAGTTTTTTCATCTGCAAAGTGTTGATCATAATAGTATCTATATGAAGTTTCTTATGTCGAAAGACTTAGAGGGATTCCCATTTTCCTGGTTGGACATAGACTTAAATTACCTGGCTAGGGAATAATAAATAGTATGAGAGCCACAAACATGACAGAATGAACTGGGACAGTATGTCAGGTATGTGTGTCCATTTCTTATTAAACAGTGAGAGACTTTTACTGTGATCTAAATGTCTATATATTTGGATATCTAGCCTCTAGCACAGTGATTGACATGGCAGGCTCTATGAAATGTTTGCTGACATTTAATCCTGGCAAAGGTTAAATTAATTAACACATTCTGTGCTATAAGAGTGCATGGCACATGAGGATGCTTGGTGAAGCAGCCCTTGCGATCATTGACCGTTATCTGGGTCCCACAGGCTTTTACTTTCCTGTATTGCAGCAGTTATGTCATTGCCTTATCATTCAATTGTCATGTGCATCTCCTTCATTAAACTGTGAGCCAGTGAAGGGGCCGGTACTGTTACCAACTGAATTGTGTCCCTCCAAAATTAATGTTGAAACCGGAACCCCCACCACCTCAGAATGTGGCTGTATTTGGAGCGAGGGCCTTTAAAAGGGTGATTAAGTTTAAATGAGGCCTTTAGGGTGGACCCTAATTCCACCTGCCTGGTGTTGCTCTCAGGAGAAGAGATTAGGACACATTGAGAGGCACCAGCGATGTGGGTGCACAGGGGAGAGACCACGTGAGGTGGTGAAAGAAGGGCGGGCTCAGAGGAAACCAGCCCTGCTGGCACCTTGACCTTGGACTTCCAGCCTCCAGAACTGCAAGAAAATAAATATCTGTTGTTTAAGGCACCCAGTCTGTGGTATTTTGTTATGGCAGCCCTACCAAACTAGTACAGAGACTTATGTTTTGTTCATTCATTCAACAAGTATTCATGGTGCCTCTATTATGTACCAGGCACTGATTCATGAAGCAGGACGTAGAGTGCTGAGACAACATAGACAGAAAGAGGGCTTCTGCTCTCAGAAGATTAGTCTAGTGGGAGAGACTGACAGTCGAAAGATCACAGAGTAGCGTGGAAAGAGCTAGAAAGAAGAGGCCTGTGTGCTCTGCAGGAGCACAGTGCTGCACAGGGTGGGGATGATAGTACGGGCATGTTTCGGTGTAGGTATTGTTCATCCTCAGCATGCTGCAGTGCCCTGCCCACAGCCAATGCTCTGTAAGTGTGGACTGGCTTTTCCTGAAGGCCCAGATCTTCAGTTCTCCACGTGAAATAACATGATTTCTTTGCCCTCAAGGAAAGACAGCCCAAGGGCAGATGCTGCTAAGTGCTTATTTTATAGGGCCCGCAAAGCTGGGTCGGAGGAGAGGCCGACGAATGAGGAGGAAGAGGAAGTGGGTTCTCATCTCAGCGCAGCCACAGCCGTGGTGTGGTGACCCGATGCTACGCCCTTCCCTTGTCTGGACCCCGCTTCCGCAGCTTCAAAAATGAAGAGGTTGGAGGAGTTCATCTCTCAGGTCTCTTCCAGCTTCGCCTTCTGAAGTCTAGTTTGCAAAAGATTAACTTCAAAAAGAGGAAGGATGGTCAGAGGGAGGCAGGGGGAGGGGAGAGAGGTGGAGAGGCTCCACCACTTTTGCTACAAGACCCTGGCCAAGAGGTTGCCTCTCTCTGAGTCTCGGTTTCCTTTCCCATAAAAAGTGAGGGAGTTAGTTATCTTTCATTCTTTCTGTTGGCAAAGATTCTATGTCTCTGAGTATCTGGGAACTCTTTAATCTTCTGTAGCTGAGTATTAATTCATTGCAGCAGAAAAACATCCCTGGGCTAAGGGTCTGCTTCAGATGTCACCAGGACCAGCCTCTGTCCCCACTCACTTCATTCAGTTATGACACGTAACGTGGCTCCTTTCAAACAGGAAGTCTTAGAAACACAACCCTTTACTCACCACATATCTTTCACTTAATAACTAGATCATCAACTAAGTCCATCCCCACACTGAAAGAAGCCACAGAAAACATACAAAACGAAGGCTTTGTCTGTTGACATTTCCTGGAAAGAAAGTAACATCTTTTATCCAGCTACTCACAGCGAGGAACGGTTCCCAGAAGTACCTTAAAAATAAAATTTTATTAGAATGGTTTGGACAGAGAGTAGATCAATTGGAAAGAAAAATTAAGTTATCAGTGTCCAATAATAAGGAAACATTTAAATCAATTTCATTACATTCATATGAAATTTTATGCAGCACTTAAAATAGTATTTTAAAAGATTATTTCACAACATGTGGAGGTAACAATATAATAAGTAAAAAAAAGCAGGATACAAACCATAATTTAACATAATCTTAATTTTTATTAAATATACACTGTATATCATACATATACATAAAAAAACGACCTGAATAAAGTACCCTAAATATTAACAGAAGTAATATCCAAAAGGAGGCAGTCTGAGTGATTTTATTTGCTTCTTTATGCTATTCTGCATTTTCAAATTTCCATCAATATGTTTTCCTTTCTTTGTTTAGTCATTCGGCAAATATTTCTTGTGCCCTATGAGCCCAGTACAAGTATGTTGTAGATGCTAGTGATAGGGGCAAATCTCAGCCCTCCTGCAGCTTAGCCTCTAGTGAGTTGACCCAGATAAAGGAGAAAAATCAGTAAACAAACCAGATGATGTTACATGGATGGTGTTATGTGTCGTGAACACATCCCATCAGGGCGATGGGAAGGGAGTGAGTGGGGCCGAGCATCTGCCTTGCACAGATGGTCAGGGAGGGCAGCCCTGAGGAGGGGCCATTAGCCCTGAGACTGAACAACACAGAGGAGCCTGAAGACCCCGCAGAAGAACCTTCCTGTCAGGGGGAACGGCCAGGCTGCATGGACCTGACCACACTGGGCACCACAGGCCTGGGAAGAAGTTTGGCCTCTACTGTAGGTAAGTAGGGGCCACAGAGAGTTTTCTCATGGAGAGTGACAAGGTCACATCCTGCTCAGACAGATGACTCTGGCTGCAGAGTGGAGAGGGCTCCTGGTGGTGGAGGCAGAGCAGAAGCAGGGAGACCTCTTATGAGACATGTTTTTCTTTATAATTTGCCAATTCTGGAACATCAGTTTCCACTACTGTAAAATGAGAGACAGTGGGACAAGGTCAATGACTTCTAAGAGCACATCCAGTACTTAAAAATAAAGAACATTATTTTTGTGTCGCTGTCGACCTGCTTTTAAAAAGTGTATAAGCTTCCTAAACACGGGGCCCAGGTCTTGTTTCTCTCTGTTTATGCCCAGCACGCAGCCTTGCCCCTCGCAGGCCTCACTGAAGGAGCACCGTGGGCACTGGTATCTGTGGGAGTCACTGGTTCTATTGAGAGCTTCCTCTGTGCTTCCCCAGGAACTCACCTGCCAAGGCCTTTGTCCAGGAGGCAATAGGGAGCCACTGCAGGCGTTTCAGCAAAGCTGACTTCTTTGGGTCAGCAAGTTCAGGCAGTGATAGGGGGGGTCTGGCAGGGCCAGGTGCGGATGTACAGAGACAGGGAGACATATTATTTTACTAGAGAGTCCCTCTGGGCTGTGCTTTTTCAAGAGAGCCCACCTGTGAAAGCAGAGACCTGCCAGTGGGCCAGGGATACCTCTGCACAAGAGCACCTCCTGGGGGCTGCACACACTGGGAGACAGACCGTTTGAGGCTCTGCCTCTTTACAGTTGGGGGAAATAAGGCACAAAGAGACCCAGTGACTCATGTGCCAAGGATTTCTGGCTTCAGGGCCGTCTCTCAGCTAATGTCAAAACCAGATTCTGTTTAGCTGTCATCCACGGAGGGGGCGGGGCTTTGCCTGTGCCCTAGGGGAGGGAGTGTCCGGGTGGGGTGGGGAAGGGGAGGGAGGCAGCAAGGGTGACAAACGCTCCAATACCTCCATTTGGACACTCCCATAATCCAAGAAGGGCTAAAATTGGCTGCGGAGCTTGCATTCTGGGAGCAGAGCTGATCAAACAAAAGGAACAGGCACAGTCTGAGTCAGCCAGATAATCCTTGTGGAGAGCGGGCCCATCCAAGTGAAAATAGATCAGAGGCGTTTTCCCAGGAGATGCAGAGCTTGGGGACCCTGGGACCAAAGCCCTCACGTGAAAGATGGGGAAGGACAGTGTCACACTGCGGAGATGGGGAGTGAGCTTCGCCTGCAGGGTCGGGGCTGGCACTCAGACCCAGCTCTGCCCATCCTGAGGTCAGGGCTCATCTCACTCCTTCACAACTAAGTCTGGGTCCAACTCTTTATTTGCCAAATCTACAGACAGGCCTAACGGCAGGGGACAATGAAAGTGATTTCACAGCACCTTGTATATACGGTGTGTTGCCATGTACACACACACACACACACACACACACACACACACGCTGATTTAGTTAGGTAAGGTCTTTTTTCCCCTTAAGTACTGTGGACCACTAGTGGTACTTAAATATCAGCATTCACCATCCCCATGCAAAGGCGCAGCTCCAGGAACCTGGAAGCAAGGCTAGTCCAACCTCTTTGTCTTGCAGATGAGCCCTGGGTCCGAGCGGAGGAGGCTGCAGACTTACTGCAACCCAACTGAGGCAGCGGGCAGCCAGGCCCTGGCTCCCCTGAGGGTGGGGAGCGCACTCCTCAATCCACAGCCTTGCTTTCTGCTCTCAAGCACAGGCCCCCGAGAGGAAGGTGATAGAGAGCGAGACAATATCCAGCTCATTGCCTTGGCTGGAGCCTGGCACCTTGGCACACCAATTAGTGAATTTCTAAGAAGTGCTTTACCTTCTTGGATGGTTTTTGCCATCATGGTAACAATCATCCACTAACTAAATGTTTACTGAATACCCACTCTGCTGGGTCTTCTAAGTACTTTTAACATCTTTTAATTTTCATAATACTAGGATGCAGTGTTATTGTTTCTTTTTTTTATGTTGTTTTTTGTTGTTGTTGTTTTTTTCACAGAGAGAAATACAGAAATTTGTCCAGATCAGGACAAAGGAAGGCGGCAGAGTTGGGATCTGACCGTCTGTTGACTTCTATTATGCCCAGTGCCTCAGATATTGTGGGCACTGCATGGGGCATTCTCACAAGCCTAGCGGAGTGTGAGCCCGGGTTTCTCAGGACCCCACCCTCTCCTGGGCTGCTAAGCTCCGCTGTGAGCTCCCTGTTACTTCTGAGGTTTATAAGCCCCTCCTAGCGGCTCAGGGTGAGATTCTTGGCAGCCAAGACCCGTGGTGCTGGGCTGGGCTATGGAGAGGCCCAGAGGAGAGCAAAGATCATGAGCTGGTAAGGGTTGATCTTGAGGGGTTTGGCCATAGATGTGAAGGGCACACAGTAAGAGTGAATCCAGCAGGGATGGGCTCAGACTACAGGAGAAAAATAGAACATGGGACATAGTTTTAAAGAAAGTTTGCTGGAGGAAGCCCCTTCTGTGTTTTATGTGTACACACCTTTCAGAGCAGACCCTGAGAATTTCCTACACAGAACAAGGATTTCCTCTAGTGTCCCTGGTGGCATTTTGTTTCTTCTTTAGTGTCTCCAAGAACAGGAAGCTGATTACCTTTCAGACTATTGTAATTTTCAGAAAGTTAGCCTTCGCCGGCCTCTCAGACGTGTCTATGTGTTGGACCCAGGTCTGCCCTTTGGTTCGCAAAAACACAATGGGCTTCCTCCCAGCAGCAGTCTGGGTAATTTGAAAATAACTTTCACTTTTTATACCAGGGTCCTGCCAAGCGTGCTGAGCAGAAGTAGGAAGTTTGCACGCCCTTAATAGGTGTCCCCTCTAAACAAACACATCAAAACAGACAAAAGCCCATAAAGAGCATCTGTGGGCATGTTAGACCAGGCCTCCAGGTACGTTTCCTGCAAAACCATTCACAGCGTTACTACGCTGCCGCAGAGTGTGAGCTCCAACACAGGAAATACTAGGCGTGCGACGTTTCCCAAACTTTTCACCTCCCACATGTCTGAGCTCAAACCACTTTTTTTCTCCCAATGCACCTTTTACCATTTTCCATATAGAACATTAGAAACATTGTTTGGAAAATGCTTCTCTACACAGATCCAGGCTCTTACTATCACGGTCTCCAAGCTAAAAAGCCAGGCTCCTTCAACTGTTCATTTCGAGGCAAAGTGTTGGGTTTTCTCAGAATCTTAGCTCTATTCTCTAGTGGAGCCGTCAGATTTAAATACAGGATGTTCAGTTAAATCCGAATTTCAGACAATCTTTTTGTTTTGTTTTGGTATAAGTATCTTCCATACAATGTTTGGAACATAGTTATGTGAGAAAAGAACTCTTTGCTGATCAGAAATCCAAATTTAACTGGATGCCCTGTATTTTTATTTGCTAAATCCAGGAGCCTAGAAGGGTCCCAAATGCCCTTCCTTCTTCCCTGGAAAAATGTGGTCCTCAGAGCTGGTCACAGTACCCCAGAGGTGGACCAAGACAAGACAATTGCTAACCTTGGGAGCCACCATCAATTCCACTCTTCCCAGTCACAATTTTTAAAGTAAGATAGTAATATTTTTATGAACGGTTAGTGGCCAGTCTGAGGTTGATAGGTATACCAGATAGCTTTTCGAATCCACTGGCTAAATCCAGAAGCCAATTTTCCACCCCTCACCCCTGTTCATAAGTGTATATAAGTTTCCCTGGTGTTAGTATTAGGGAGCTTGGTCCAAATACCATTTATAATCCCCTTTTGTGATCTGTCTTCTCCACTAGACTGTAAGAAACTAAAAACTAGGGACCAAGCAGGCTTGCCTTGGTCATGGTTGTACCCCTGGTAGCTAGCGCAGGAGCCGGCATGTGTAAGTGTTCAAGGATCTTTGGAAAAAATAAATTAAAGAATTAATCACACTTTGGAAAGCGAAGTAAACCAGACAAGCTGACACTCCGAAAAGAAGAGATTGCCAGTGGGAGCTTCCCTCGCGGTTGGGATTTGTCATCTACCCCAAGCTGTCCCAGATCCATTAAACCCTGTTCACCTGTGCCGAAGCCAATTCTGTTGGAAGACGTGTGTGCAAAACAAGAACATCTAATTGCTATGACTAAAATAAAACATTTCACCCAAACACAAGCCGTTTTCCAAGTTGAAATACTTCTTGGAGCCTGCAATTTTTATCGAGGTGTGGAACTTGGCCCTTCTTCCAAGGAGGCTGGCCTGCGCCCAGTGGGTGTGGGACTGGGGCCGATCATACCTGGTCTTCCCACAGAAGCATCCTAATCCAAGAGGAATTAGGCTAAGTGAACAAGGGTAGCCTCAGGAGCGGGGCAGGCATAAGACGCAGGACACAGCACCCCTAGTCTGACTTGGTGAATGTGCATCTGGTGCCTGGCGCGTGGAACGAGAAAGGCTTGGAGCTTTTGCTCTAAGACATAGCTGATAGAGCTGGACACTGCCCACTCCCAGCGTGAACTCACCCAGGCTTGGAGCTTGTCAGTATTGAAAGGATCCTGGGAACTGTCCCTGGGGCAGGCGATTATTATCTGCAGCCTGGCAGCTGTGGCTTCAGTGCTGGGGGGTGTTAACCCTGAATTTATTCATAAGAGCAAATGCAGCACAAAGCAGACAAGTGCAGTGAGAAGAGCCCCGGGTCCCAAGAGGGTAGCAGAGTGTGGTCAAACTTGTGTTGTCTCCTGAGGACAAGTATGAAGACCTAAGTCCAAGTCCCAGCCCTGCCGTGTGTTAGCTCCATGCCCTCAGGCAAGCCTTTTAACCTCAGTCTTTTTGTCTGTGAAATGGGAACAGCAGGGCTGACCTCAGAGTTGTGAGGACTGGCTAAAACGGCAGATCTCAAACCCATCTATAAACTGCCAAGTGCTGGATCCATATGAGGGACAGTTACGACAGTGTCCCCTTGAGCACAGTGCTCCGGCCCTTACTCAGCGCTGGATGGATCTGGTCGGCTGCTGCCAAGAGAGCAGAGAATGGCACCCAACTGGGAGAAAAGAAGGGTGTTCCTTCCACAGCCTGAAGCAAAATAAAAAGGGCTTCAAATTACATTATATAATTCCTTTTAATTATGG